AAGTTATTACTTATTTACGAATTTATTTTTGAGTCGGGGACTCAAACACCCCAAGCTGGCATGGAGTTAAGGATGACCTTAAATTTCTGATTTTCCAGACTTCACCCTCTGGAATCACAGGCATGCTACACCACGCTAGGCACATTGACCATTTTCAGACCAGAATTAGATGTGTACTCTCTGTTCTGCCTACACTACAGGTTGCTAGGTTACACGCCTTTTTCCCTTTACGCCTCTGTAGGAGGAAAACTTCATTTCCCATGAACACGTGCAAGCGTCGCCGCCACGTAGCGTCGCGTCGTCGCTCGCGCTCTTTATAACCACTTCCGCCCGCGCGCCACTTCCTTTCTTCTCGGCGGCTCGCCACGGCGAGATGGCGGTACAGATTTCCAAGAAGAGAAAGGTACGCGTCTGGGCCTGGCCCGGGTTCTGGAGGTGCCGGTGAGACTCGTGGCTCCGTGTCCGATCTTGGGGAGCGGCTACGGTCGCCTGGCGTCTCCGCGGGCCGCGGATGGCCGCGGATTGGGTGCTGGGAGGCCCGGTCGAGCGCAGTGTGGCTGGGGAAGGGAGGAACAAACTCCTCAGGTCTGGGCCGAGGAGAACAGCGGGCGCCTCCGGTCTGGCGCTAGACGCCTTTGAACGTTTCTTGGTCGCCATAGTTAGCAACCCTGTGGCGCAGCCTAAGGGCGTGCGCCATCAAATCGAACCCAGCGTCCTTGGTAAGTGAAGTGCCGTGTTCGCTTCTCCGTGTGATGCAGCAGTCGGCCTCAGTCGAAAGTCTCCTGGCTGTTGGTGTGCTCGCTCTGGGGACCTCGAATAACAGCGTTCCTGTGGTTAATTTTTTTGTCATTCAATGGGGAAGAAGCGTGTGAAAATAAATCATAGGGTTTAAAAATGGATGGCCTGTTTGTGCGTACGCACACAGATAGTAACGCTGTTGTCCACAGGCTGGTTTTAGGATTTGTCCTCTCATTTCCCAGGTACAAGTTTCTGTGTTGAATGAACGGCGGGTGTGCCACATGAGGACAAATTTTAGGTCCTCAGTGTGTAGAGCAGCTCATTTTAAAGCCCTTCAAGAAAAGTTGGGTCTGACTAGCAGATGTTTTAATTGTCCAGAGTGCTGCTTTCTGTGGCATGGCTGAAGGCATTATGGTCAAAGAAATGTCTTGATGACCATGACCTTCAAAAAATTGAGGAAGGGTTGCTGCATTCCTGCAGGGTTTTTTATTCTGAACTTGCTTCTTTGGTTTAGTTTGTGGCTGATGGCATCTTCAAAGCTGAACTGAATGAGTTTCTCACTCGGGAGTTGGCTGAAGATGGCTACTCTGGAGTCGAAGTCCGAGTTACACCAACCAGAACAGAAATCATTATTTTAGCCACCAGGTAAAAATGTAGTTGCCTATAATCACTGTGTGTGCTAAGATGCTGTGCAAGTTTGCCACAACCAGTGAACCTGGTCTTGGTGAGTGTAATTGTCTTGAGACTGCGTTTGAAAAGAATGTACCTAATTCTTTCCATTTAACTTGTATACTTTTGCCTTGTGGTAGATGGCTGGTGAGATTGAGTAGATTATACCTTTCTCTTCTGCAGAACACAGAATGTTCTTGGGGAGAAGGGTCGTCGGATCAGAGAGTTGACTGCAGTGGTCCAGAAGAGGTTCGGCTTCCCTGAGGGTAGCGTAGAGGTGAGGTCGCCTGGCGTACCTACTGGAGGTTTTAGTCTGAATTTAAATGTGGCAGTCGTAGAATGGTACTATTGAAACCTTGGACGTGAATATTACTGGTTTGATATTTTGTCAGTTTTCTTCTAAGCATCATGGGTGCAATGCATGGAAGGGCGTATCTGTTACTCTGGTATCCAGAAAGCAGGATGCTGGTCAGTGCAGAGGCAGTCAGGGAACAGTATGCTTAAACTTATGGAGGGATATTTTGGTGGTTTCATTTGTGTATCGAAATGATATAGGTGGCTTGGCTATCTCATTCCTCTGCCTAGTGGTTTTGGGGAACCAGATTAGAAGGGCAATTCAGCCAAAATCACTGCCACACGTGGGTAGTGGAAATGCTTCAGTATTTAAGGGCTATTACAATGACTTAATTGAACATTGTTGAGTAATAGGCATGTACTTTGCTTCCTTTAAAGCTTTATGCAGAGAAGGTGGCCACAAGAGGTCTGTGTGCCATTGCCCAGGCAGAGTCTCTACGCTACAAACTCCTAGGAGGGCTTGCTGTGCGAAGGTAAGTGTTGTGAGACATGATGGTCATGTCTTCATGGATCAGTGTGATTTTGTTAGGAGATAACCTCATTGACAGTCTGCTAGAGTAACAGTGTAGCCATGCTCTCTGAACTTTGGGCACACTAGACAGTGAAGGGCCTGTTGTGGGTGACATCTGCCTATATATAGCCCCCAACAATTGGGAGACTTGAGTTGGAAGTTTTATTTAGTCATGGGCCAGCCTCCGCTACACTATGAACCCTTAAAGAATAGTGCTGTAACAGAGTAATGTGTAGGGTACATTGGATAGAACAAGAATCCTATCTGGAAGGGAACATCTGTCTTTGCTTTGTGAGGTTTAGGGAGGGCCTTGATAGGTGGGCTGTAGAGCATCCTGCTGCTGTGCCTGTGTAGGGTATCTGCCTGGTGGGTAGAAATTTAGTGCTTCTGGGATACTACATGTTTCAAAGCAAGCTAGAAGTCATGCAGCTCTTGGCATTCACTTTTGTGGGGACTACAAAGAGAACGGTTCTAATGGGAAAGAGCTCAAAATGAAACCATTTAAAACACTAAATTAGCTGGGTATGATATATCGCCCACCCCCGAGGTGGGGAATCAACAATCAAAAGCAAGCCTTAGCTGCATAGTAGAGGTTAACCTGGAGGGAAGGCCTTGTTTTAAAAAAAAGCTATCCCTGTTAAGTTGTGTGGCACTGAGAAGTGATGTGAGGGTTGGGGCCTCTGCCTAAGGTGGTCTGACTTTGTTTTTAAAATTGTACTACCTTGCCTTAATTTTGAGGTTTAGGTGTTGAAAAGGCCAAGTTAAGCTAGTTGTGGTGGTGGTGCATACCTTTAATCCCAGCAGAGGCAGGCTTGGGTCGCTGAGTTCGAGGCCAGCCTGTTTTACGAGGCAAGCCCAGAACAGCTAAGGCTACACAGAGAAGCTGTCTCAGGAACAGCCAAAAAAAAAAAAAAAAAAAAAAGGAAGCCCGTCTAAAAGATGATTTTTGTTTTTGTTTTTTCATATACCCTCATGCTCAGGTTCTTCCCCAAGGCAGTCATTGAATTACTGGGCAGGCCAAACTCACACAGCTATTTTCCAAATCTCTTATTTAATCTATACTGTATAGATTTGTGAGTGCATGAAGACTAGAAGGCAACTGTGGAGTCATGTTCCCTTATTTTGGTTTTCTGTTTTTTTGTTTGTTTTTTTAAGACCGTCTTTGTAGCCTTGGCTGTCCTAGATTTGCTTTGTAAACCAAGCTGGCCTTGAACTCAGAAATCTGCCTGCCTCTGCCTTAGTAGACTGCTGGGATTATAGGTGTGTGTCACCAAGCCAGGCTATGTTCTCTTCCCTTACACTGGTGTTAAGCTCTGTCAGGTTTTTGTCGGGTTTGCCTTTGGTAGCAAGTACCTTTTTGTGCTGAACTGTCTCTGCTGTCAGGACAGGTATTTTTGGAGACAAGGCCTCACTACAAAGTCCTGGCTGGTCTGGAACTTGCAGAGACCTACCAGCCTTTGCCTTGGAGTGCTGTATTAAAGGTATACAGTACAGCACACACCCAGTGGAGTGGATATTTTTGAAAAGCACTTGCTTTGTGGCCTCTAGATAGCCCCTTCGTTGAGAAGTACACAAAATAAAAGCCCCTAAGCACTGCTGGCGAATTAGAAGAACCTTTAGGCTTATGAGAAAAATTAAAAGCTGGACTTGGTGGCCCATACATCTAATCCCAGCACTAGGGAGGCAGAGGCAGGAGAAATCTGAGACCAGCCTGGCATAAGGCCACACAGAGAACCGTCTCAACAAAAACTAAGCCAGGCGTCGTGGTGCGCACCTTTAATCTCAGCAGGCCATCTCTGATTTGAAGGTCAGCTAAGGCTACAGTGAGACCCTGACGCAACCTTTTTGTGTCAAGACTGTTGTGTGTCTCTGTAGCCTTGGCTGTCCAGGCTGGCCTCGAACTTGGGGACCCACCTGCCCCTGCCTACACAGGTGCTGGGATTACTTTAAGATTCATTTATTAACATACACTGTTCGGCCTGCATATACGTGCCAGAAGAGGGCCTCCTAGGTGGTTATCAGCTACCATGTGGTTTCTGGGACTTGAACTCAGAACCTCTGGAAAAGCAGTCAGTAGTAACCTGAGTCCTCTCTCCAGCCCAGCTAGAGGTGATTCTAACGTTCAGGCCAAGGTTGAAAAGCATTGATCACTGAGTTGCTGTTTTGATAGAGCTCTTCAGTTTGATAGGTTTCTTCAGTCGGCCATTGGGAAGATATTAATGGGAAAACCAAGTCTTTTTTTTTTTTTAAGCTTTGTGGAATGGGCAGACAGATTGTGCATTTGGTAATAACAGATACATCTTTCCAAAGGGCGTGCTATGGTGTGCTTCGATTCATTATGGAGAGTGGGGCCAAGGGCTGCGAGGTGGTGGTGTCTGGGAAGCTCCGGGGACAGAGGGCCAAGTCCATGAAGTTTGTGGATGGCCTGATGATTCACAGCGGAGACCCTGTGAACTACTACGTTGACACTGCCGTGCGCCATGTGCTCCTCAGACAAGGTGAGCAGCTGCACTGGGAAGGGAGCCGGGGGCCCATCTACTGTGCAGCTGAGCTAACTAAATAGTGCTGGTGGCTAGGAACACCTAGGGTGGAGTTGAGCATTTCTAGTCGTATGTTGCATGTTATGGTAAGTCTACCATGGAAGATTTTCGTTAGTTACAGGGGCTGTGACATGCATTGCTGAAATGGTCAAGCTAACTGTTGTCTTAGCCATAGCCATCTGTGTGCCCTTCAGTGATGATACGATGACGAGTCAGAAAGGTCACATCTTGCTCTTGGTGTCCTTGTCAGTGCCATGTTCTGTGGTGCTGTTCATGGTTCCTTTAGCAAAAGTGTCCTGCATACTGATTGATTTAGAGGCATTTGTCTGAGAAGGGACCAGATCTCAGTGCTTTTGAGCAGATACTGCTGTCTTCTGTATGTCCTCTTGTGTAGGGAGAGAATTCCCAGCTCAGTCCCAACCCTGGTGTCTTTTAGGTGTGCTGGGCATCAAAGTGAAGATCATGCTGCCCTGGGACCCTAGTGGTAAGATCGGCCCCAAGAAGCCTCTGCCTGATCATGTGAGCATTGTGGAACCAAAAGATGAAATCTTGCCCACCACTCCGATCTCAGAACAGAAGGGTGGGAAGCCAGAGCCACCTGCCATGCCCCAGCCAGTGCCTACAGCATAACAGGTATGCCTGCAGTGAGCTTCCTGGGCCAAACATGTGGTTGGCTTGTTCCTTCTACCTCTGGTGTTTCCTAGGAGGTGTGAATAGCATTTTCGCTTCATGTGGGAGGAAGGATACAAGTTGGTCTATGGTGCCCAATTGACCCACAAGTCTGTTGTGGGTCACAAGAATGAGTGTTTTCAAGAGTTTCCAGATGCTCTTGTTCTTAGCCCTTCAGCAGTGGCCTTGTCAAGGTGGTAGCAAGCTGGGTGGTGTTTGAGGCAGACACTGAGTGGGAGTGGGCACTGCATAGTGAATGAAAGCATGCTGCTGAGTTTCTTACCGTTGTTATTTTCTTTTATTCCAGGGTCTTGGCAGCTGTATCCGGAGGCTGGATCTTGTCCTATTTAACAAAGACGTTTAATAAAATCTTGCACAAAGAGATAAATAAGGCCTGACTGGATTGTGTCCAGTGTTCAGCTGATGAGTTATGTTGGCCTGTGGAGCATTGCTTATTAGTTGAAGCTGGAGGGCTTGAGCAGAGCTGACCAGAGAAGCCGTGAGTCAGTGATGGCTGGTGACTGCAGGGCAGCACTCGACCCTGGGTTGAAAGCCGTTCAGGGTTAGAAGAGTAGTTAGGCTTCAGTGCTCATGACAGAACCCAGCTCCTTGCATATAGCAAGCATATACCTTGTATGGTTCACTCCCCATCGGGAGTGCCTCTTCTCCCTCTGCGATGTAGGAGTGCTCTGTGGGCAAAGATGCTTTCTATGAAAGCCTGTGTGCTGTGGGATGCACGCACCCTATATGTAGAGTAAACTGGCCTGTTTTATCATGCTGTGCTATTACAGTGTCAGCAGCCCTAAATAAAAAGGGAATTTTGGGTGCCATTGAGCTTAAAGCTCAGAACATACAGCTGTCATTAGAATCCATATTTCTAAGTTCTGTACTTGATCCATTATGTTTGGAAAATTCAGAAATTATCTAGCTTATTTACCACAATGTCTTTGAAGCCTTTACTATTGATGTGTTTTGTGGGGAATTAAAATAAGCTTGGAAATCTGGTGCTGTGTTTGGTGAGAGGACTAAGAAGCTGTCTGAGGGGTGGGGTGCAGCCTGGCTGGTGTCCTTTCGTTTGCATCTATGTGTCTTTGCATGGGGTTAAGGGCTTAAGAGCACACTGACCATATCCACAATTTCTTAACCCTCTTAACATGTTGAGTACAGATATGCCTTTCTTGAAAAGATGCTCCTACTGTGTAGACTGTCTGGCATCTGCCTTGGTATTTGAATAAAGGTGCAGTCATCTGGTTGACTAAACCACTCGTGAATAGAGGGCAAATTACTGGACTGTGAGTTCTCTAGACGCTGGCACTGCTAGGTTGCTCGGCTCGGATGGGGTTGGTTTGTGAGACATTCAGACTGGATCCCTACCAGAGTGCTCACAACCACCCTGACTCCTGTCCCAGGGGGTCTGATGGTCTCTGCAGGTACCGCATGCATATGGTGCACATTCGTCGGAGGTTGCAAGTACTGCTGAGGTGCCAACTCGGGAACTGGCTTTGCTTAAACTACCAGAGCTGCCGGTACCCACCAGTTACTCCCCCACCAGTCAAATGGAGGGCCTTGAGCATGCTCCGTATGATCTGGCACCCTCGGTTGTATCTACTAGATCTTACGATTCCCGGGTTCTGCGCATAGAAGATTCGGTGAGATAGATTGCTTCTTTCCCAGTAGGTGGCACTATAACATTTCCTATTGAGCACAGAGAGGAAGGGCTTTGTCAAATTTTGCCCCTCTAGCCAACAGGGATGAAGATTGGGAAGGAAAAACCAGAGGCTGGATTTGTCTTTGCCACTCACTGGAAATAAGGTTGCTTCAATGCTGAAGTCTATTGGGCACTTTGTTGGAAGTGGTTCTGTGGAGCAGGAGTGTGACCGTCCAGTTTTTGGTTTTTAGATACGTTTCTGATTGGCTCAGAACCTTGATTTCATTACTCTTTCTCTTCCTCAGGACTTAGATTTTGATGCTAAAGACATTTTTTCATCGAAGCTGTAGCATGTATGATTATAGCCTCCTGGGGCCACTAACAACATTTAATATCTTTAATGGACAAATTCCATGACTAGCTGACAGCCTAACCTTCACTACCTTAATGTTTATTTCTCTGAGGTTTACCTCAGTCTTCACTCCGGTGAAGTTAACACCTCTGAGAGTTAACATTGAACTCAAAGTTGGAATAGTTCTCCAGCTCTCATAATTACAAATAAAACAGCAGCCCCCAGGAACTTTGACAAACTTTGACTCGGACGGGGCAGTCATCCACTGGGTGAGATGGGAAATGCTGCATTCTGCCTTATGTTGGCCCTTGTTTGTGGATAAGGCTCTGGAGTTAACCTGGAGCTCATCCTGCTTCTGGGTACAAGGTGTGTCTTTGCCTATTTTCCCCGCCAATCTGCCAGAAGAGCAGTCATACACCGGGTGCAGTGAACAACCCCATCCCCTCATTGTGCTTTTCTTCAGGTGTCTATTTTTTTCCCTTTGCAACAGAGCCCTGGCTGTCCTAGACTCAGTTTGTAGACCAGTGACTTGACCTCTTCTAGTGTGTTACCGAAACTTGCACGGTCTCCTGATAGTACATGGCTCAGGACCAAATCATTAAGAGCTGGAATAAGTATTCCTGAGACAGTAACTAACCATAAAGAATGTTAAGTCTTAAGGAGGCTGGGATTTTGAACTTGAGGTCGCCCTGCTTCTGCTTCCCGAGTGCTGGCGTTAAAGGCGTGTGCCACCATGCCCAGCCTTTAGGTGTCTTTGAAAAGACGGGGTCTTCATGGTTGAAGCTTGCCTGGGACACACTATATAGTCTAGAACCAGTAACACCTGTCCAAAGGAGCATTCCCTCCATGCAATGAAATGTTGATTAGCTGAAGCTGGAACAGATGGATTACGAGTCTGCAATAGACGAAACCTTTGGGTCATGACCCCTTATTAAGGCTCTTTCTCAGGAGTTGCATATCAGATCCCTCCATTAGGATTCAAGACAAAGATTACATTATGTGGCAACAAAATGTTACGGAAGGGCAACTACAATGAGCTGTATGAAGGTTTGCATTAAGGTTGAGAACTACGCTAGCCATTTGCACTGCTCATGTACTTTAGACACCACAGTTGTGGAGAACACTGATCGCTCCTAATTTTGTCAGAGACTTATGTTCCACTGTTCAAACATTGTAAGTTTGTGAGCATCAATTAAAATGGTAAGTATGCTTTAGAGGCTGCACCTCTGGTGGAGCACTTGCTTGGCATGCTTGAGGGTCCCGGCTTGAGTAGCAAAAATACTGTCAGCAGCTCATTTTCCCCCAGTCACCGTTTGCAGAGGACAGCTGGGAGCCAGCAGCTCCTAACTCCCATGGTGTGGGTGTCTGGGACTGAGCCCAGGTGCTTAGGAGCCGAAAGATACACCTTTATCCACCAAGCCGTTTTGCTGGCTTTTGTCGTAGGAAGCTTCGAATCTAGTGAGGACTTGGCCAGTGTGATCAGTGTCACTAGCATCCTTTGGAACAGGTGCTGCTGTGTGGCCCTGCATTCATCTGATCTGTGGCATGAGTAAGATTTCCTGTCAGCTTCCATGATCAGTAAAAAGAGAAATCGTGAATTCCACCTGATGTTTCCAGATTTCAGAAAGATGGCACAGTATTTGAGAAACAAGGAAATGGAAGGCTGCTGGAATGGTTGCTTATTTCACTTTTGCATGTTCCTTCTAGGCTGTCCCATTCTTGGCATGTTCTTAATTGTCTTTGTGGCCTGTGAGTCCAGGCAGATTGGATATACACAGAATAGTATCAGGAATGTGAGTGGGAAGCTTAGTGGCTGCTTGGCCTTCAGAAAGTGTCTATTCAGGGGAGACTCCCGTATCTTCTAGTTTTCCCCCGATGGGCTATTGTTCTGGGTAGCCATGTGATCGGTGCCTTTGCTTTGTCCTGAGTGTTGGCTTGGGCTGGGGACAGCAGGATCAGTGGTTTGGGCCTGCACTCCTCCCGCTGCTGTCATTATCAGTGTGTCCAGATGGTCACAGTTCCCTAATCTGGTATTGGAGATCAGATGGGACCATAGCCGTTGTGTCTGGCGGTGGTGGGCCAGCCCCAGCTGGGGAGACCCTGCAGACATGGCCCTGGGGCTCTGAGGATGGGAGAGACTGGGAAACAGGCTCCTCTTCAAAAGGCAATCTGGGTGCAAATGAGGGTCGGCAGATGGGGCCAGGCAGTACCCAGGGCTGCATCTTGGCATCCCTGGGGTGTTTGCCCTTTCTTGCCACCTAGCAGTTCTGTCGCTGTCCTGGAGCTCTGGGCCATACCAAGTGTACAGTAGCAACAGGGTTGTGCCTTGCACGGGTGTTGATCTGCCAGTCAGGTGAATCCTGGTCTGTAGCTGTGGTGCCTTCCGCCCTGAAACCAAAATGCTGAGCCTGGAGAGATGGCTCAGTGGATCAAGGATCTAGCTGCTAATGATGTTTAGTATCTACAGTAACAAAAGTAGACCGGGTAATGAATGTGGTAAAGGCTGAATGCAGGTGCTCCTCAAAAGCTGATCTGTTGGGACCTGATACCTAATGTCATAGCGTTAAGAAATGAGGACTGGTGACATGGCTCAGTTGGCAGTGTTTGCCGTACCATCCTGATGACCTGAGTTCTGATCCCAGAACTCATGTAAAGGTGGAAGGAGAAAGCAGACTCCACAAAGTTCTTCTCTGACTTCCACATGTACTTCATACATGGCACATGTATACACATACCACATTACAGGAAATGAATACAATTTTAAAAAGAAATGGGGGCCTTTGGGGATATGAATAAGTCACCTGGGATTAGTGTCATTTGAGAGGTTGAAAAAAATGTCCTGTTCTCTCCTGCCAGTTGAGAATAAAGAAAAAATGCAATTTATAAAGCAGAGCTCTCCTGACGGATTCTGATGGCACCTAGGCTCCTGGACTCTCCAATGTCCAAAACTGAGTAATTTACCCGTTCAATTATATTCACATACTGGTCTAAGGGGAGTGTGTCTGCTTGAGTGGCCTACTGGAGTACTGGCAGACTGCAAAAGCAGGGAGTGGGTGCTACGGATGCCTTCTCTGGGCAAAGCAGGCATGATCTGGAACACACCCAACTTTTGAAAAAAGGTTTATTTCTAAAAGAAGAGGGACAATAAGTTAGAGGGCTATTCACATGGAGGTCCCAGGAGGGGCGCCAGGTGCCATGTCCACATTTCCTCTGACTCCTGGCTGAGATCTCCAGGCTGAGTCATCTGCTCAGGCTCTGGACGATAGTGACGCAGCCGTGAGAACTGGTGCAGCGCTGCAGGGATGGCTGGGCCTCCACCTGCCCACTGCTAGGGTCAAAGGTGAAGACGCTACTGGTGCTTTCCCCATGCTCGTCCCGCCCACCAAGGATGTGGACCTTCCCGTCACACACCGTCACGCCACAGCTCTCCTAAGGGGACAGACAAGACAGTTAACTGGGCTGCAGCCAGGGGCTCTCTTGGTCCCTAGCCTGCCAAGCCACATAGCAGAGCCTTGCCCTACAGATGGGCCAGGCAGTCTGGATGGCAGGAGACAAAAAAGGGTACACTTGACCCCGTGAATGGCCTGGACAAGCTGCCCGCTCTGCGTCTCAGGTCTTATCTGCCCTCTTCAGTGTCACTGAATATGGTGTATCCTTCACTTGGTCATAGCCAAAAAGCTAAGGCTATGCCTGGAAGATCATATACATGGGAAAAGTAACATCATCCTACACTTATTCAGAAACGTTGGAAACCTCAGCCCGAATCATCCAGGGCCCAAACTGACAGGAACCACCAACTACATAGTTTCTTTGGAGTTTTGGGGCAGCAAGTGGGGGGATTCAAGGGGCTGTGGGTATCAGAACTTGTACCTCTGGTCACTGATGTCACTGGAGAGAGGACCTTACCAAGTCCCTTGCCCACTCTCGAATTGGTACCTCTGAGGTAGACCAAACCTCCACTCAAGTCCCAGCACTTGACTTGTAGGTACTGCCTTTACCCAACTGATGGTCCTGGGCTAACCGCTCCAAGGCTAGTCTCATCTGAAATGAGGTGAGTGACCACTGGGAGGAAAGCAATGGGACCGTATGAAGCCATTTTCCACGGAGTCATACCAAGATCTCTAACCGTGAGCTCCAGAGCCTTGGAAGCGAGTCTGCACTCCTGAGTGGGCCAAGTCAGGGGCCTGCCAGGGAGCCCCACTTACTCACCACAGGGCTGGGCAGGTCAGCTGCCTCTCCCCAGACATCTGTGCCAGGCTCATAGGTGAAAATTTTGCTCATGAGGCCTCCCACCACATAGATGGTGTCTCCCAGGGAGACGGCCTCAAGACACCGCTGCAAGAAGGGTGCTGGCGACCGCAGAGTCCACTGGTCCTCCTTGGGGTCAAAGCACTGCACCTGCAGGAGGGAAACGGTGGAGAAAGAGCCTTTCCCGGCAACGCCCCGCTACCCTGTCTCTAGGAATACTTGGCACATTACCCCAATTTTTATCCCGCTATGATTGGCTATGCAGTGCTGGGGGTCAAACCCCGAGCTTCCTGCCTTCTACAACCCCCGGTTTTTAATAGTTTTTTTTTTTTTTTTTTTTTTTTAATGGAGGAAAAACATTTTAACAACTCTACCTCTCTCATCTAATTTTTAACAATATATTTTTATTTATGTGTCTCTCTGTGTCTCTGTATGCCTGCAGAGGCCACAAGAGCTAGAGTGAGGGGCAGTTGTGAGTCATTTGACAGGGCTGCTGGAACCAAATTCTGGTCCTTTGCAAGGGCAGCCAGTGCTCCTAACCGTTGAGCCATCCCTCCTGCCCCAATCTTGCCATTTTTAAAAATCTATGAAACCCACATGAGCGGTGCCAGTGGAAGAGGTATTCTGCTGACTCCTGCTGACTGAGTGCCCTCTGAGGCCATCTCTCTCTCCCCTCCTCTCTTTTTTCTCTTGGTTTTTCAAGAGACGGTTTCTCTGTGTCTTGGCTGTCCTGGAACTCGCTCTGTAGACCAGCTGGCTTGAAACTGGCAGAGATCTGCCTGCCTCTGCCTCCTGAGTGCTGGGATTAAAGAAAGGTATGCTCCGGCTGAGGTCAAACTACCCCGAATGCTTACAGGATTCAGAAACTAGACGGGCTGACACCAGCGCCCAGATCTAGCCTGCACACAGTAGGCTATGCCGCAGCTTCTAATGTCCCCTAACCCCAAGGCCTGAGCCCACCTTGTCAGTGTTGACACCGTCCTGCCCGGCGCCCCCTATCACGTAGAGCTGGCCCGCGCAGGGCGCCACGGCTGCAGAGCTCACGGCCTCCGGCAGGGGCGCAGTGGCCGCCCAGGTGTTGGAGAATGGGTCGTAGCGCTCCACGCTGCGCAGGCGCCGCAGGCCATCGAAGCCCCCCACTGCAAAGAGCTGAGGAACAAAGGCCAGGGCCCTGGGACTCAGAGCTGTAACCGACTTCAATGCCCCACCACTTCAGTGGGAGCCCACCAGGGGCGTCCCAGCCCGGCCACTGCCTGGCCAAGTTCCTCCCTCCCTAGTTCAGGAACCTTCCCTGCTCAATGCAGTTCAGGAGGAAAGTGTCTGAATGAAGAGGATTCCAGGTAGCTCGAGTGGTTACTAAGGGTTTACCACCCACCCACCAAATCCCTGTTTTTGAATGCAGAATGACGTTTACAAAGATAACTGGCAGTATTTTGTCTCTAAGTGGCAGAGTTAAGACAGAATACCTGGGCTGGAGAGATGGCTCAGCGGTTAAGAGCACTGGCTGCTCCTGTAAAAGATCCGGATTCGATTCCCAGCCAGCACCCACACGGCAGCTCACAAACGTCCCTAACTCCAGTTCCAGGGCATCCATGGCCCCAGGCATGCACGAGGCGCACATACATGTGCGTGTAGGCAGAATACCCATACACATAAATAAATCTTACAAAACCAAAACCTGGTCTGTTTGGTCCCGAAGCCCCGAACTTTCGCGACTGAACTGTATTCTGACGGTGATGGCTATTTATCTGGCAGGGGTGGTAATGCTGAGCCAGGGTCTTGCTACTGTAGCCCTGGCTGGCCTCAAACTCACGACCCTCTTGTCTTGGCCTCCCAACTACTGAGATTACGGGTGTGAGCCACTAAGCCCAGCTGCAGTGATGCCTGTTAGCATTCTTATGTGATCTTGAGCAGGTCCTTCTCTTTTGGGGGTCTCAGGTCCCCTTCCCCCAGATCAGCTCTGCCGTGGATCCCAGGGCAGCAGCCACAGCATGTGCCTACCTGTCCCTGCAGGGCCGCCATCTTGTGCCTCCACCTGCCCTTGTGCATCGAGGCAACCTTGATCCAGGTGTGCAGATGGGAGCTGAACATCCAGACATCACGGCTGTTGATGTGACCTCCTACGGAGAAAGAAACAGCTGTCTTCTCCTAGGCCTCGAACTCCGTGTCCCTAAATCCAAAGGACGGGAGGAAGGATTTCTCACTGGGCTGGTGTAAGACTTGACCTATTAGCCACAGTGTGTTTTGAATGGAAGGAGAGGGTCTGCCCTGGGACTCCTGAGGGACAGGAGATCCAGGGACGGGAAGGCAATGTGCACCAGGTGCCTGTGGTGGGTGCCAGTTGTGCTCAGGGAAGCAAAGGAGGAGATGTATCCCTCAAGATGGCGGCCAAGGGAAGGCGGAGTCTGCACAGTGATGGAGTAGAAGGTGGCCGGGTCTTGTTTCTTGACTAACGCTTTATCTTCATTTCCAGTCTCATCTCTCTGAGGTGTTGAGATTATTACACCATTTCCACATAGGTCCGTGAGGTTTACGGACCCAGAATGACCTGCTGAAGACCGGTGGCCTTTTGTCAGAGCAAAGGGCAAAGCCGAGACGTAAGGCCTCTGGCTCCAAGCCCGGCATCAACACTCCCAGCTGGGCTTGGCTCTGCAGGACCACACGGTTTCAGCCACTGACTGCAGGGGATATGGGAAAGCCGGCCCACATCTCCTGACTGGAGGGAAAAACAAGGGGAGGGGGGTAAACAAGAGGCTCCCACTTCACTGTGCCCTCACCCGAAACGTAAATGTCATTCCGAAGTGCACAGGAGGCAAACTCGGAGCGCGTGTAACCAGGCAGGCTGGGCAGGGGCGTCCAGCGCTGGCTCTCCGGGTGGTAAGCATCTGCAAAAGGCAGCTTCAAGAGTCCCTTTCGGTCACACCCGCCAATGACCACAATCACTTCAGCGAGGTCCATGAACCTGGGGTGGATAAACCCAATACCTGTAGCTCCACACCCACGCTGGCTGGTGCCTTTTCATACTGCCCCAGACCCCCACATACGCTGCTGGGGATTACTGAACCAGAATGCTATTGACTCTGTCTCTAAGCCATATCTCTAGCCCGAGGGCTTGCTTTTTCTGTAACCTCTATTCTGTTTCCGCTTCCTGAGTACTGGACTTACAGGAGCAGCACCAAGCCCTCACAGCTCCGTTCTCGCTGTTTTGATCATGGCCAGACAGTGTCGTTGCCCTTCTGCCTACCCTGGCAGCTGCCAGTGGAACCCACTGCCTCCGACCTGATCTCTAGGTGCAAATAGAAAGGAGGCACCAACCAACCCTTACCCCAGTCTACTTGCCTCTAAGTTACAGGAAAAAAGACCTTCCCAAAGCCCTTCCTCTTCAGTTGTTTAGTCTTTCAGACCGTTAGGATTATTGTACATTTTACACAGGAGAAAAACTGAGGCTCATGGATTATGGGCTCTCGAAGCCACGCTCAGTTTTGAATGTTATGAATCCTCCATCCTCAACAGTTAACGTACTGTGTCTTTCCCCTAGCCATCTCCAAATGGGGGAATTGCTATGAGCAAGATGACACACACTTCCCACAAAGCTCTCCACCGCTGACCTTTTGGCTTTCTGGCCTCCCCAGGTTTCCCAAACTGGCTAGTGCTTTCCTAGCTCATCTTGTGTCTCTGGCCGCATACTCATCATTAGAGACAGCATAATCCCTGTCTTCTGTCCCTCAGGTATGAAGCGCCATTGCGGACTCTAGTCTTTGGGTTTGGCATTGCACAGGTACAGTGGGCGTTTCTCACGCCTTTGCATGTTTAGTTGTCTTACTAGCCCCATGCGTCCCCAGAGAGCAGATCCCGCCAGGACCCGTTTCTCAGAATGGCAGACGGGGCAGGAAATGGAATACATCGCTCCTTCACAAGACTAACTCTTCGAGGCAGGGCGCTGGGCACCAAGCTTATGAACCGCTGACATTTCAAGAGGGATAACGAAGGAGCCGGAGCTGGGTGGTGGTGGTGGGGAGACCTCGCTGGGGCGCAGGGCCAGCAAGCCGGAGGCCATACCTCCGCGGCCGGGCCCGCAGCGCGCCCGCCTCCCGGCCCAGGATGAAACAGGCGCGGGCCTCCAGCAGCAGCGGGCGGCAGTCGCCGCAGGCCTGCAGCAGCTCGTCCGCCTCCACCTTCTCCAGGAAGTAGGCGGGCGCCAGCAGCGGCAGGCGCACGTGCTCCAGCAGGCGCCGCAGCTGGCCGCGGCGGGCCGGCGCGTCGTGGCGCACCCAGCGCATGGCCGCCTCGAACACGGCCTCCTCGCGCGCCACGCGCAGCGCCGGGTCGGCCAGCAGCGCCGCCACCTCGTCGGGCGCCAGCTCCAGGAAGTCGGCGTGGCGCGTCACCTCCACGAAGGCCTGGCGCAGCACGCGGCCGCAGCGCTCGGCCAGGGGCGCGAGCGAGAAGGCGGCGGCCACGCGGCGCAGCGCCAGGCTGTTGGCGGCGCGCAGGCGGCCCTCGAGGAAGCGCGCGCACGCCTCGCGCAGCCCCGCCACGCCCAGCCGCTCGGCCAGCGCCAGCACGGCGGCCGCCTCGTCCTCGGCGCGCAGCCGCACGCCCGCGCCGTACACGTAGTCGAGCACCACGGCCAGGGCCGCCGCCGCCCCGGGCGCCTCGGGCCCTACCGGGAGCACGGCCGCTGCACGCTCGGGCCGGCCGGCCGCGAACAGGCCGCGGAAGTGGGCGCTGGCCGCGCTCAGCGCCGCGCGGTGGCACGGGAAGTCGCGGCCTCCGGCGCGCAGCACCACGTCGGTCAGGGTGCCGCTCCGGCGATACGCGTTGAGCGTCTGCAGGATGCGCTGCGCGTGGCAGGACGCGGCGCAGGGTGCCTCCGGGCCAGGCTCCGGCTCCTCGCTCTCCGGACTCTCCCGCATCCTGCCGGGGAGAGAACACAGACCTCATCAAAGATGGGCTGGCCGGTGGCCACCCCGTACATTTAAGCCTTCCCTCGCTAGTTCACTCACCACTCACATCCGGCCATGCATCTACTGTCCCCACCCCAACCCTGGCCCATCTAGACTCCTGACAGGGCTGGACCAGTCCTGCCTTCTGTGTCGAGACTCCCCTCCAGTACCTACTCCAGCCACCTTGCCCATTTCTCTAAGCTCGGCAAGTTTTCTGCCAGGCTCTGCCGGAAACAGATGGCAGACTCAAATAGGATCATTTGAGGAGGGTCAAAAAAGGGAGGGGGGAATGGAACAATTATACAAGTCTAGACTGTGCAGTGTTTAGGGATTTCAGCTGGGGTTGAGCCGTGTCACCAAGAGGAAGATTACCCAAGTTCTGAAGGGGAACCTTCAGGGCATTTGCTGGAACCTTGACAGAATGTCTGTATAGGGTTAGGTCCTGTTGCATGAGCTGTAGGATGTGGTAAAGAGATTCATGCTACCTTCAACAACAGTGTGTGTGTGTGTGTGTGTGTGTGTGTGTGTGTGTGTGTGTGCGCGCGCGCGCGCGAGCCCCAGGCATAATCCCTGGCTTTCTGGAGCGCAGAGCTTGGGCAGGGATCCTTTGAGAGAACTCAGGAGAATTGGGAGAGCTCAGAAAGGACAGTAAACATGGAGCTGAGTTAGGGAAAGGATTCCGGGGATGAGGAGAATTAGCTGAGTAAAAGCAAGAGAGAGAGAGAGAGAGAGATGTTTCTAGTTTCCAGCGGAAAGATCCAGGCTCTAGGGACCACACGAGGCTCTAATCCTCCTTTAGTCTAGAGTGATCTGACCTGGGCAAGGCGCTGGCCCCATCTCTGAGACAGGATCATGCATAGTGCCTAGCCAACCAAAGACCTGTAACTGCAGGCCAGGGTGTATGGAAGCCCTGGGTTTGTAGTCTGCCTGGATCACTGCTTACCTTTTGACTCACGCAGAGTCGGGGCGAGCATGGAGTGTGGGTGAGTTGACCCTCAGAGCTCTGAGAAAAGCCTTTTGTCACACACCTCCTTCAGGAAGTTTGTTGGGAGGAAACAGTCACATACAGAGAGCCTGCCCTTTAGAGGTTTGCTGTGAGAGTCAACGAAGAGGTGTGTATGAAAACACACCGCAGGTTGCAGGCCGCTCACTGGCTAGGGTTTGGCTAGGGTCTGAAGATAGGAAGCCTTTTCCTTTTTACGGGAACTTCCTCTGAGGCTCAGCTCTGCCTCTCTCTCTCCCTACATTTCCCCCCACCTCTGGAGGGAAGATCCGCCTGGCTTTCACAGCTTATGCAGGCCCATGCTGAGCAGTGGATCTCTTGCCTCATTGTCACAAGAAATAAGCTCCAGGTGGACAGGACTGTTGCCCGGGTAGAGGCGGCCAGCTCAAGCCCTTCATGCACCAGGCTGTTAAGTCTAGCCCCGCTGCAGGACCTGCCATGGTGGAGGCGGGGCCTCACGGAACAACCAGGGATCCACAGAGGTGGTGGGACAGGTCATCTGAGTGCAGGAGGGCTGTCCTTAGCTAGCCCAGGACGCGGCTACTTTCTAGGCTGAGACCCAAGAAGGCCGGTCTCAACATAAGGACAATCCCCCTCCTGTTGTGACAATCCTTAATTATGTTCACCTCCTAGGAGCTTTGCCAATATTTAGTCATTCTACTGCCACCTTCTGCCCTAGGCTCAGGGAACTGTGGCCACATGGTAATAAAAGACTCAGTTTCCACCGTGGAGTCCTACAGTCTGAGGGCTCAAGGACACACGGGAAGGTAGGGATCCCCATCTTGGGTTCCATCAGCATTCTCCCATCTCACAGTCCAAGCACCTCACAGCTCATGGGCTGACTGAGTCTCAGCCAGTGGAAACCGCTCAGCACACCACTGTCCTGCTATCCCTCTCGACACTCACACCTCCACCCCGCTCTCCCCAACACCCTGATACACAGCACAGGCTCACCCTTTGGATGGACACTTCCCACAGCAAGACAGACTTCTAGCCAGGCACCCCAAACCCTGCCTCTAGGTACTCGGCTCTTACCCGGCCACTCCCTCTTCCAGGGACTCAGAACTGCTGCTCTGGAGGAGACGCTCGATCGCTTGCTCCTTTTCCTGCCCGTGCCTGCTGCTTGCCGGCTCACCCGCTTTCCTAGCAGCCTGAGCTCCTGATTTTATTCTCACTTTGCCTAGCCTCCCACTTGGGCTCAGCTGCGGGAGGACAAAGGGACTGGACGCCAGGGGGGAGGGGAGGAGAGGGAGCCGGTAGGAATGGGCACTGGGCTTTTGTTCTGCTCTTGGACCAGGCTTGAGAGGGAGGGGTGAGGAGAAGCATGGGGATGTGGGGATGATTGTGTGTGAAACACTGAGGGAGCTAGGGTGTTTGAGGAGTGGGGTGACTGGTCCAGGGTTTGTTGGGGTGTATACAGGGTGTCCACCTCAGGTGGAAGGGGATGTTGTTGGCATGTAGGTGTCCTAGAACCTGTATGTGTGTGAGTGCATGGAACCCAGTGACTGTGTAGCGCTGGGGTGCTTGGGGTGCTTGGGCTGTGTGGACATGTGAGTGCATGGCTTTGGATGTAACCAGAACGTGGCTGAGACTGCTTCGGATCCAGGTCTCCCTCCTGCCCCTCTGTGACTGCCACAGGCACGTTCCTCCCTCAGAGCGCACCTGTCACTGTGCGTCTTTGCATCCTCCATTGTATTTGTGGGTTCATTTGCATGTCAGGGGCTTGTGTGCAGGAGAGATGAGTATAACGCGTCTGTGTGCACGCAGGCTCGTGCCTGTGTGACGAGGATCTCTCTGTGCTCCGGGCATGATGGGTGTGGCCCTGTAACTGCGGTGTCTGAGTGGAGGAGTGTGGGCCTCTTGGACAGGGCACAGTGGGCAAGGACGTGCTGGCACTGAGCAGACGGAGTTGGATGGAAAAGAATGGGGCAGCTCTGCATCTGCCTTGCCTTCTGGAGCCAGAGAAAGTGGATTTGGAGGTTAGCACGTGAGCACGTGCTGCCTCTGAAGGACTGCCGGGCCTGGAACCCATGGAGCAGACCTTGCTGGCAGAGGAGCACAGCCCTGTGGGGAAGAGATGGCCTCAATAAGAGCCTGTCTGTTCTGTCGGGACACGGCCACAGGCGCTGCACACCCCTGACCACAGCGATGCCGCCCCTGGGTTTGACTCTTCTCATCAGGGTAATGCTGGTTCCTGCTCTAAGCTTCGTGTGGGGTCGCCTCTGCATGTGTTAGAGCCCGGTCCTGCCGGGATCAGGCAGGAAGGGTGTGGAGGATGGGGGTGTTGCAGTTTGATAGGAGCATTCGAGTCTCCCAAAAGGCTTCCCGGGGGGCCGGTGAGATGACACAGCCGGTAAAGGCACCTGCTTCCGTGTCTGAGGATCTCTAGGATCCACGTGGTGGAAGAAGAGAACCCGTTCACATACATGCACACAGTGTCTATGCACATTCACACAGCTGCACATACAAAAACAAATAGAATTTTAAAACATTTAGGCCACTTTTCATGGTGCATGCCTTTAATCCCAGTACTCAGGAGGCAGGGGCAGGTGGATCTCTGTGAGTTCTGGGACAGCCTGGTCTACATAGTGAATTCTGGGCTAGCCAGGGCTACATAGTGAGACCTGTCTCAAAAAAAATGTTTTTATTTTTAAGCTTCGTTTCTAGCTGTGGTGTTATGAAGTCATTGAGTGCATTCCTAATGGATTCACCCGCTAATGGTTAATACTTTGGGGGTATTATTATGATGTGGTGGAGAACAGGAGTGGGGAGCCCCTGCATTTTCTCTCTCTGCCTCCTGCTCACCGTGGAGTTTGTCATTTTGTTCTGCTACATGCTCTCTGCCATCAGAACATTCTGCCACACCATGCACAGGGCTAGAAGAAATGGTAGGTGTTGAAACCTCTGAAACCATGAGCCAGTACATCTTTCTTCTTATCAGGTTCTTCTCTAGTATTTTGTTCCAGTGATAAAAGTCTAACTAATGCAGGAGGGTTTGGCAAAGCATGTGATCTAAAGGCTGGTTTATGTTTGTCTATGGCCCCTGCTTGTGTTGACTAGTTTTATGTCAACTTGACACAAGGAAGAGTCATTTGGGAAGAGGGACACTCAATTGAGAAAACGTCCCCACCTAACTGGCCCACAGACAAGCTTTGTGGGGCATTTTCTTGTTGGTGGTTGATGTGGGAGGGCCCATCCCATGGGAGGAGGCAAGGGGTCCTGAGCTGTACAAGAAATCAAGCTGAGCAAATCATGAGGGGCAAGCCAGTAAGCGTCATTCCCCCATGGTCTCTGCTGCAGCTCCTGCCTCCTGGTTCCTGTCTTGAGCCCCTGCCTTGACTTCCTCAGTGACCCGAGAGCTGTAAGATGGAGTAAACTCTTTCCTTTCCAAGTTGCTCTTGGTCATGGTGTTTTATCACAAAAATAGAAAAGTAACTAAGACTGCCATTATACCAGGGGAGGGGGAGAGCGTTGCCATATGGCCGTGAAAAGGTGTTAATGGGGCCAGGGAGATGGCCACATCTGAGAGCTTAAGCTCAGTCTCTGGGACCCTGTCCTAGGTAGTTTCAGTTGTCAACCTGACACAAGCCTGGAGTCACCTGGGAAGATGGAAGCTCAGCCGAAGAACTGCCTTGTGAGACTGGCTTGTGGTCATGCGTGTGAGGTATTTTCTTAACTGCTAATTGATGCAGAAGGATCCAGCCTATAATGGAAAGTGCCACACTCGTCAGGTGGTCCTGGGCTTCATAAGAAAGAGATCTGAGCAAGCCAGAGGGAAGCAAGCCAGTAAGGAGTGTCCCTCCCTGGTCTCTGCTTCAGCCCCTGCCTTGCGCTCCTGCCCTCGCTGTTCTTGAGGATGGACTGTATGTAGACTGTGAGCTGAAACCACCCTTTCCTGGCATCGCTTTCGATCACAGCAACAGAGAACACACTAGGGCACACCGACATGGTGGAAGGAAGAACATGCTCTCACAGGTTGCCTCCTGACTTCCACATCTGTACTGTGACATACAGACAGACAGACAGACACACACACACACACACACACACACACACACACACACTCACACACACTCGAAAATTTTAGAGATGTGGGTGGTTTGGGGACCTTTATACTTGGGAAGGAGCTGAGGGTTCACAGAGGGCTTGTAGGGAATAGGGGGTCATCTGAGCAGGGGAGACACTAGAGGAATGTCCAGAAGGTGAAATCGGGCAGTGAGGTACCCTCTGTAGTCAAGGGGAGCTGCTAGAGGGCTTTAGCAAGGGGGAGGGGGTGTTTCAGTGACCCCTAAGTGAGGGAAGAGAAGCCAGGCTACGGCATGCGCTGAAGACCCATTGGAGAATGGAGACAGGACTGCTATTCATGTTTTGGTGACCAAGAGGTGGCCTGACCGTCCTTGGGCAGGGGAGGGTTGCAGAGTCAGATTCTGATGATGTGGGATGCAGCTGGCAATTCTGAATGGGACCCCAGGTTCTTCACCTTTCTTTATCCCCCCTCCCTAAGACTGCAAGGTGTTTGAAGTGCACCAGCATGTCCAGGAGCCTTGGACACCCTGGCCAGTGGGCCCAGGGGAGAAGACTGGACCGGGAGGGGATTCCATGAAGATGGGTCATCTTTTTTGAATGGGTTTCCACAGGCTGAACAGTCATATGGGCAGGAGAGTATGCTCCTCCCAATCTGGCAGATCTGGTTTGCTTCTGCCTGTGTCCAGGGCCAGGCAGGAGATGATCTCTGACCCAGATTTCAGCAGTGAGGGAAATAGTGGGTAAATCCTCCAGACTTCCATGGGGGCTGGGTAGAGAGGCAATGGGGGCCTACTGAAGGGTCCGAATTTGGAAGGGGCTCATTTCCTTCCTTCCAAGGTGACACAGAATCTTTCGTATACCAAGAATTCTGTGTCCCACATTTTGAGAGGACACAGTGCCTGGTCTCCTGGGTGGCATGGCATTTACCCAGTGCAAGCTGGAGCAGGGCTTTCGCCTTCCTCTTCCCTTCAGGATGCACTCAAGGCCATGCAGATTCGAGGAGGGGGGCCTCAAGAAGTAAAGGCCTCCCCTGTTTTCCACTGCTGACTTTTCCCACACAGGGCAGAAGGCAGAACCCCGGAGACACAGACACCTGTGTTCCCCGTGTTGTATTTGGCCTCCAACTCAGGGACCAAGGTGAAGAGGCATCCCCGCATTCAGGGTTTGTCCTCCAATGTCCAGGGGCATGGATGCCTCCATGGCACAACAAAGGCCCTGCTGGCCCCCGCTCTGCAGCCTCCTCAGATCCAGAGCCTCCACCTGCTGTGCCATTCCTAGCTGATACAAAAGGCCAGTTGTGAGATCCCTCCCTCTCTCCCCCTTGTTCTTAGTACAGCTGGAGCTTTTTTTGTTTTTGTTTTGCTTTTTTTAAAGAGCCAGGTATTGTGGAGCACAGCATTAACCCCAACACTGGGGAAGCAGAGGCAGGCAGAGCTCAATTCAAGGCCGTTCTGGTCTACACAGTGAATTCCAGGACTGCAAGAGCTAACAAAGAGAGACCCTGCCTCAAAAAATAAATTATATCATGTACATGGGTGTTTTACCTGTACGTGTGTCTGTGCCATGTGTCAGTAGAGGCCAGTTACAGACAGCTGTAAGTGTTGTGGTGTTAGATATTGAACCGTCTGGGGAAACAGCCAGTGCTCTTAACTGATGAGCCATCTCTCCAGCCCACTGGGTCAGTGGCTAACAACACTGGCTGCTCTTCAAGAGGACCCAAGTTTGGTTCCTGGCTTACTACTGCTTGTAACGCCAGCTCCAGGAGACCAGCACACTGTTCTGGCCTCTGAGAGCACATACACACAAACAGAAATAAGTTGTTTCTTAAAATTTAAAAAGATATATATTTTAAAAGCATGCACCACTAAACCACCTCAAAAGATATTTTTAGGCATGAGAGTTAAGAGTGTGGATGTGGGTTCCTCAGAGGGTAGCCCTGGCTTTGCCTGTGTGACTCTGGATGGTCACTTTGGCATCGTACCCCACATAACGCAAGGGCATTCATTAGTTTTGCAATCTGGGGCTGCTGAAGCCCTGGCGTCATGGCTGACCAAGGGAGGAACCCAGGTA